CCCCCCCCACGCCCCCCCACCGCCCTGTCTGCTGTGTGGCACGAGTTGTGTTTCAGAGAGCAAGCCTTTCCGTCCAGGCTTCTGCGGCCCTCGCCCAGGCTCCTGGTCAAATCCCCCTGAGGGGTAAGGGGGCTGGTCGGGACTCCAGGTGCTTTTCGGCCACATCTGATTACGGAGTGGAGGGACTGTGTCCACCTGAGGCCCTGGCAGGGGCCCAGCGTCCTGGGGGCGTCCTGGCCAGCCTCCCAGGCTTCCTGACCCCACCAGGAACCCCCGCCTTCCGCCAGGGCTCTCCCTTCAGAGGCCTGGATTTTCTTTCTCTGCCTCCGCCTCTGCCCTCCTCCTGCACCCTCCTCCCCACCCCATTCCCTGCCTCCCCTGCCTGCAGCTTTGGCCAACTTAGGCTACGGTCCACCGCGCAAACCCCGAGATCACATGGTCGGTGGGGGGGAAACCGAGGAACCAGGGGCCTTGCGAAGGGCTCCCGGCCCGGCCTCCCTCTCAAATGCAGCTCTCTCCACTGCTCTGCTGGGAGGAGGGGAGAGAAAGGGAGGGTTAGGAACGCCCCGGTGGTTTCTTTCTTTCCAACAACCGCGGTGTGGGTAATGCCACCCACGCTCTTCCCCTGGGGACCAGCGTGAGGGGTGGGAGCCCGAGACCAGCGGGCCCCTTTCCCCGGCTCAGCAGCTGAGTGGCCACAGGCAGGTCAGGGCCCGTCTGTGTCTCCTGAACTCACCTGGCAAGGAGCGGCCCCTTGAGGTAGCACCGACAGGAGGTCACAGCGGGATACCGTGGCCCGAAGGGCTCTGCTCCCGACCCACGCGGAGGATCTCAAGGCCGAGAGAGGCCACGTGCTTCTCTGCCTGCTCCTGCCTACCTTTTCCGGTTGTCTCCCCTGGGCCACTTTTGATGGAGGACGCAGCAAAGCCCAGAGACTTCAAGCCAGTGGGGACGATGGTTACACCGGGTGCCGAGGCAGCCGTCTCTGCGGATCCTGAAAACGCACAGCGTGACAGCTCATGTTCAAAAGGTGGCCCAAGAAGACATTTGCAGGTGGACACACGATCAAGGCCAAATGCAGACGGGTGTTTCAGGAGAACAAAGTGTTCGGGTAGTGTCCTCGATCTGGGTTTGCAGACGTCGGGGCTGAGTCTTGGGGATCCGCGGATGTCGTGTGGGAATTTCCAAATGCCCCGCGATAACCTCGAAGCGGACAGGAGCCCATGCCACATGGATGACCTCCCACAACGAGGACTGTCACAGCCTGCCAGGCCTGTGTGTGTTGTGTTAACTGCCATGCACCTGCCTGCA